ATACAAAAAAAAATATAAAACCTCATGCATAAGAATTCTCTAAATAAAGAATTATAGTAATTTAAGGAATTCATGATTATAAAAAGTAATCACTGTAAAATGAAAGAAAACCAAAAAAGAACTATAAGTGAGGACTGGGGGGAAAATCCATTAAGGAACTTTGAGAAAAGATATTTAATGACATACAAAATGGTCAACGTACAGAAATTTTGTATATCTACTTTTCAAAACATCAAATTAAGAAAAATCATGGTTTACAAACTTGTACATGTATACATTCTACATTTGGCCTTCGAAATTTGAAGTGGTAGGTTTTTTCAAAAGGGGAACCAATTCAAACTAAATGACAAGGTATACTTATATTACTAGGAAAGAAATACTGAAGAGTTTGTCTTTTTCATAAACTTGGCACTCACTGAAGAAAAAAAAGAGTCTTGCATTTTCTATGTATAAGAACGATTAATACAGTGATTCTCAAAGTGCGTTCCAGGGACAACTGGGGTTCTCTTCTCCTAAAAGGACTTCGCAAGGTCAAAACTATTTCCATAACTGTAATTTTAAAAGTTATTTATCTTTTTCACTTATTCTCATTTTTTTCCAGAGGCTACATGTGTGATACCTTAACAGACTGAATGCAGAAGCAGATAAGCCCATTGTCTTTCATTAAGCCAGACATTAAAGAGATTTGCAAAAATGTAAAACAATGCCACTCTTCTCACCAAGTTTTTCATTCTTTTGGAAAAATTATTTTTCATAAAAAAGATTAATGTGTAATGAGTTTTTAAAAATGAATTACAAATTTTTTTTTAATTTCCCAGTTTAAATTTCTATTATGAGAACTATAAATAGATACGACCTGCAAACACAAAAACTCCTTGGAATATCAATAATTTTTAAGTGTATAACAAGGTCCTGAGACCAAAAGTTTTGAATACCACTGATGGTACAATGATAAGAGATAAATGACAACACACACATACACCGAACTACTGCTATTTATATCACAGAAATTTCTAACAGTTCAAATTCTTTGGTAACCAGTAAAGGAAGAAATCTGATGGGGGTAAAACTGGACAGGAAACTAAAGGCAAGGAAATTAAATGCTTCCTTTCAGTTTTAGAAGGCTGCCATTCTGATTTGAAGGCAAAATTCTAGGCAATTAAATAGATGTTTCAAAATTAACTACCCTCCATGTTTATGCCATAAGCAATAATTTAATGCTTTCACAGTCTCCCACAGCTGCTTGAAAATTCATATAAAACCCTAAGTTATTCAGTACAAAATCTAGATTCTCAGAGGTTGTTATACTTATCGCCAATGAAAAATTTAAATTATTTCATGATACCTATATCCTCAAACTGTTAGCCTACTCGAGTTGATGCCTATGCAAAAAATGCCATACTTGCATACTAAAAAGAAAATGCAAGGCTTACTACAGATAAAAATAGAATTAATTTCTGAGTCATGAAATTTCTCACAATTTCTGTAACCCATAAAGTAAAAATTTTAAATTCAACAATCTCAAAGCGGCTAATTTCTCAAACTAAAAGGAAAGAAAAATTTGAAAACAGACTAACTTTATTAGCCCTATTAGCAGTCATTTTACCCTCAGATACACTACTCAACTTCAGAAATAGCTTAGTATGGGAGGAAAGGCTATGTAAGTTAACTTAAATTTGCTTAATACTGGAAATTCTTCCTTGTCCATCAAAATGTTTTTATAACTCAGTACCAAATTGCAAATGACCATTTAAGCTTTTAGGAAGGCTCTGGGTCCTCCAGCCTCCAGGTTGGCAACTATTATCCAAATTACTTCACTTTTCAGGTATGTTCAGCATTTAGCCGTCCTATAATACACAAATCCTTGTAAGAAAAAAAAAAAAAAACACTCCTGCTTCAATGCTATTTTTTCATCAGAAGATTTTAATTTAATGCTCCTCTGCTCATTCCTCACTACAAGTAGAAGTAATCCAAGGGTGATGTCATGGAAAACAGCTTCCCTAGCCTTTAGAGATTGGATCCAGTGAGAATTCTAGGAAAAACCTCTATTGGGGAATAAAACCCCAAATCTTCTAAGTTACACCCTAACCTGAAATCATCGAAACTGTAATTTTATCATTTTAGTTCTCCACAAGAATTAAATCTTTTGGAAGGTCTTGATGTTATGACATGGATTTCCCGCAAATTTTTAAATGATGCAGAATCATTAACGAAATTCAATAAACCTTATCAGAGACAACGAATAAATTTTCTATCTCTTCTTACTTGCTTCAATGATTCAGCCAGATGAGCTGTAGAGGTCTTATATTAAAAAGAAAATCTGAGGAAATAATCTTGCTTTTTCTAGTTTCTTTATTCCAAAATTAAAATTTCGAATTCTGAAAGGCCTTCCACTTTTGGACCCGCAACAACACAACATATACCCACGGCAAAGATGAACCATGAGGGTCCCCTCAATGATTTCTAAAAGATCACTAATAATTATCTCCTCCTTGTTCAACCTGCCCCAGACACACTGGCCTCTGCTGTTTCTTGAAAACTAGCCACAAGCCCACCTTAAAGCCTCTGCACTTAGTGTTCCCTCTACCTGGATCACTCCAACCCCAGAAATATATGGCTTCCTTCAGGTCTTCATTCCAGTGTCATCTCAGTGAAGCCTTCCTCAAACCCCCTCTTTAAAATCGAAAACCCCACACACGCCCCATCCACTTTTTCTGCTTAGTATTTTCTCCGTAGTATACTAAATGGAGATATAGGGATCTTTTCCTTATTTAGTTTACTTTTTTGTTTGGGGTTTTTTTGTTTTTGTTTTTTGTTTGTTTGTTTGTTTTTGGTTCTGTTTCACTGACTATTGTGAACCTAGGAAAAAAATAGCACTTGGCATATAACAAGTGCTTAATAAACACTGTTGGATGACTAGATAAATTTAATCCTCACAACCCTCCTGGTTCTGTAACCATTCCTGATTTAAAGATGAGAAAAATCAAAGCCCAGAGGTTAAGTAAATTGCCCGAGGCTGTGATTCTTAATAAGTGGTAGAGTTAGGGTCTGCCTGACTTCAGAGCCTTTTCGTTTAACCAACTATCCTACAATGCTTCACCAAGGCATCTTTCATTTCTCTTCAATAAAAAATCCCACAGGAGGTACAGCATTCCAATTCAGCTGAAATACATGCAAGTAAATTAATCCAACCCCTCATAAGCTAAAGATTCATTCTCCTCACAGTTAAAAGTTATTCACTCTCAAAACATTTACAATGAGAAATGGCAACCTTGATAATTGGCCAGCTATATAATTTTCGGGGCCCAGGGCAAAATGAAAACGCGGGGCCCCTTGTTCAAAAGCAGGAAAAAAGTCTCATTAAAGGTACTAAAACATAAAGCTTTCTCCTTTCTTCTGAGGTCTCTCTTGACTTGTCGGGTTTTTTTTATTTGCTGTTTAATTCGTTCTACGTAAAGAAAAATTTAAATTTAAATTATTAGTATGAATTTTACGACTCACCTTTATGTTATACGATGCCAGTTTTACACGCAGATTATTAAACCAAGTTCGGAGCCCATCTGAACACCTATGAAGCCCTGGTTCCAAGATATTAGCCCCATATAACCCTAATCAAGGCAGAGAGATCAAACCTTAAAATTCCCAATATAGCAGTGATTTGTTTTATTGGGAATTTTACCTTCAGGATAAGCGATAAATAAAACTTGCCAAAATTTTACCTTCAGGACAAGTCCAATGTATGAAAGCTAGCATGTTAAAGTAGGCTCTTCCTTTGCTAATTTAATCCTGCCCGCCTTATATTATTCTGCCTTTTTACAAAACACAAAAGCATACTCTGAAAGATAACTGGTATTAGATTATAAATTTAACATCTCAAAAAAACTCAGAAAACCATTTGTTAGCTAAAAAGAATATACTAAAAAAAATGCTTCTCTTTCACTTTTTTGTAGACCATTTTTAAAGCCAAACCATATTACATTTTTGATGTGTCGAGTAATGATCCCATACTGATCTGTTACACATATATATCATAAATTCTGACAAGTCCAATTTTCAAACCACAAATATTTACTATCCTATTATCCCTCCAAGTTAATCAGCAATAAAGAGTGCAAATTAACATCTTTTACCACTGAAAAACTGATTCTAAGCAAGTAAATGTCATTTAAAAAAAAATTACATATTACATTGTCGAAAAGTTGAAATTTTCTATACATTTCTAGATCTATTAAGAATACAGAAATCTGAATGATTTATAAGCTCTTCAGAAACAATTTTCACATTAGTAGAAATATTGAGGCATCCTGTCCCCTAGATATGAAAAACGAGCATTAAAATTAAGGTATCTATCTTAACAGCATTTTCTGAATTACGATTTAATCAGATTAACAAAAGAAAATATAAATTCGGAAAATATAAAAGACTAAACAAATGTAAGGTGTTAAATAAATATTGTGAGTAAGAAAAAGGACATACGAGGCCTAGAAAATTGAAAAACAAAGCACTACAGTAACGTTAAATTTGAATTAAAGAATACCGTTATTTAAATAAGCAGTTAACATTTCGTAGGAAGAAAGCCAAGCAATGTGACTATTATATATCTAGTCGATTTTCACAGCACTGCTTCAATATTCCAGACTTATCACTTATACTCATAATATAGAAATAAAGAGGCAGCAACAGTTAGCCCCTACAACATTAACCACTCTGGCAAAGGTTACTTAAAAAATTGCCTTGCATTTTTACAATACTTTACAGCTATAGATTATGTTCATATATATGGCTTCATACAGTCCTCACTATCCTGTGATGTGGCTATTACTGACTAGATTTCACAGATAAGAAACCAAGGCTCGCTAAGCGATTTTCTCAGTCACCCAGTCGAACCCAGACCTTCTGATTCCACGTTTTATGCCTCGCATTTCGCATAGTTCTATTTCAAGCATAAATAGAAATTTTTAAAGGAAAGGAACGAGTTAGGGAGAAAATAATCATGGTACCTGCGGCTGTGTGCTGCAAAAAATGGCTGAATTATGCTTCTTCCTTTTTTTTCCTCCTAGAAAAAAATTAAATTTCAAACGATTTAAGTAAACTCAAAGATAAATTAGGTCCCGGCGTCTACTAAATGTTTTTGAGTCGGGTCTGTACAGAAAGGGCTACCGAATTGGTGCCGACCGCGGAGCCGCGGCCGAAGCCCGGGCTCCCACAGGCCGGAGGGCCAGGGGCGGCTACGCACCTCGGGGGTCTGTCCAGTCTCTAGTAGACGGCAGTCTGCATCAGGAAGAAGCGGGCCGGCAGCCGGGCGGTGGGCGGTCGGGCGCCGGGACGGCACTCGGCAGGCTTCTCCAACGAGCGTCTACAAGGGGCCGCTCCCGGGCCGGGCCAGGGCGCTCCGGCGGGGGGCGAGTCTGCGCGCCTGCGATCCCCTCCAAATCAGTCCTGGGAAAGAAGACAGCGCTGAGTCGCGAGTCAAGACAGTCGGGCTCGGCGGGAGGCGGTGCGGCGTCGGGGCCGGACCCGGCCTTGCCAACACCAGGGGCCTCACGGCGCCTGGCGGCTTGGCGGGA